ATATCTATTATCTATTATATTTTGATTGAAAAAATTTTGAAATTTGAATTAAAATGACATTTAGACTTAAATATTCAATATTCGTCTTCTGCAGTTCCGTTGATCGTACCTACTTTGAATTTTAATAATAATACTTATTGAAACGAACGGAACAACATGAACTATATAAAAGTAAGATATTGTATCTATCTACGTTTGTTTTGACGTATATAATATGAGAACATCATGAACTGTCTGTCTTACCAAAGTTCAAATAGACTAATAATATATATTTTTTAATTTAAATATACTTTAAGAATTTTAACAAACATTGCATACTATCGTGAAGCTGCACTAATGTACTGTCTACTTCATTGAATATTATATATTTATTGATCCATAGACCTGTGCACACTTCAAAAAGTATTAATATCCTGTGAACAACGCACACACCTATGTATTTATATATTAAGTATTAATRCATATTACCTACCTATGATATATTAAATGTAAATTGATACAAAACTATAAAATTTATAGGTATAGTGATGCCTTTAGGTACTGTTAAACAGGCTTGAGTGCTATAAAAAGATAGTAGTTAATGTTCACACTAAACAATAAAATACTGTATTACAGATATTTAAAATTTTATATATTTAGGGAYGATTGTGTGATGGATGTCAAACATTTGTTTTACTAAATAGCTCACATAAATGTCGCAGTTCTTTACTCGATCAGTTTGAAATAGAAAGTTCCCCGTATAATTCGTCAGAAGATACACCTGCACCAAGTATGCTTAATATAATAGTAACTAGTTGGTTAAAATTAATTGATATGATCAACACAAATTAAACTGGTATGTCAGCAACGGTACAAGTTTTGGATCAATCCGTCTACCCCTAATTTATCCCATGTACTACTTGACAACTCTTTTGTATGCACTGGCCATGTGCACTTATATTTCCAAGGGTAATGTGTATCATTAAGTTGTTGACACACCTGTTTAACTTGTTAAGGAAACAACATTGATATAAATTAACATAAACATTTACAATATTTATGTATTTTAAAGTAGAATTAAACAAGTATAAATTGATCAAGTCCAAGAATGATGAACCAACCTTATTGTTAAACAAYAATTTACCAACAGTTAATAAGAAATTACAAAATAATACAGTTTCTTTAGCAATGAGTAGTATATAACAGTACAATAGTATGAACTATGAGTTACTATACAAACAATATGTCTTGGTGATTTTAATGATATGTCAGCTTCAAAGGTTAACTGTAAAAAGTCAGAAGATGGTGTTGCTAAACAAGATATGTCAAAACTTATTGAAATCATTGAAACATGTGCACCTCTATGGAACTTTAAATTATCCCTCGGTGAAAGATCTGATGCTATCAAGGCTAACTTATGGAATAGTGTATATGTACATTTTAACGGTAAACATGAAAGCTGATATTATACTAAAGATAATTTATGAAAACCAATTATTATTATAATAAACTTATTTTAWTAGGAAAATATTCAATTTCTGCATTGCAAAAAAGTTGGAAGTATTTAAAAGAAAAGTATATGAGAGAGAAAAAAATTCCACCTTCTGGCAGTGCAGCTAGTAAAAAAGAATGGCCTCATTTACGCAGTTTACAGTTTTTAGATGATGTAGTATTATGTAAAAAAGGGTAAATGTCAATTAAAAAAACTTTATGATTATTTTGTTTAAATTGTTTATAATATATTTTATAGCACTACGGATAGTATTCCTAGTACTTGCGAAGAGTTTGATACAGATGAACCACCAAAACGGAAAAAAAGTATATAGTATGTATTATAAAAATTATTATCTATATTAATTGCATTTATTTTATAAATTAAAATTATTAATGGAAGATCACATGTCAATGATAATTGACGAGTTAAAAGATAGCAGGCCAATTCCTCCAACTCCCCCAAAACCTGAAGAAATAAATGAAGATAGAGATTTTTATTCATATTTGACAAGACTTATGATAGGTCTACCAAGAAATGCTAAACTCAGATTACAACACACATTCATTAACATGGTATTTGAAATTTTGAACAAATTGAATAGAAAAAATTTAAAATGCCTAACAAAAAAAAAAATTATGTGAATTAATTTTGTTTTACTATGATTTAAATTTAGTTTAAGGGAGTTCCTTATTTATTTTGTTTTTTATATCTAAAGTTGAA